ATTTCTGGTTACATATGTTCTGTGAGTTAAGTAACAATATATACTAAAGTCTTACACTGAATAAATATATATTGATAAAAGTTGAGGATTTTTAGCAAATGGAATAATATTGATTTAAAAGTATTTCTCAGATATCTATGAATGCCTTCTGCATTCAGCTGTTTTTAAAAACATGTAACTTTTTTTTTTTTTACTATTTTTAGTTGTAGATGGACACAATACCTTCATTATTTTCTTTTTAAAAATTTATTTATGTGGTGCTATGGATCAAACCCAGTGCCTCTCATGCATGCTAGCCAAGCACTCTACCACTGAGCCATAACCCCAGCCCACATTTTTGTTTTTGATATTGGGTGGAAAACACTCAGCCTCAAAGCATATACATATGCATTATACACATAAACAGTTGGAAAAGAGGCCACAAGAACGTTATATGCTGTGTACTCCACTTGTGCCCTCTGAAATTTAAGGATAGTTAAACCTAAAAATATAAATGAAATGAATGCAAATGTGAAACCCGTATGTTATTAAAACATTTTGTCTTTTAAACCAGGATGACTCCTTTGAAAACCTGACAAATAGTAAAAACTCTTTACAAGATTGTCTTGAAGATTTTAATGTTACAAACACTATAGTCTTCCATATTTGCTCAAAACAGATTAATTCTTGTATCCAGAGTTTGTGTAAAAGACCACAAAATATATTACTCAGTACTTCTTTAGAAAGCTCGATACTTCATGGCTATTTTATTTGATTGAATTTGTGGCTAATTCCCTAAGTTCGTTGGAGCACATCAAGGATTTAATTGTGAAAGTAGGTTTTAGACTTCAACTAGAAGAGTAAAATTATCCACGGGGGTGCAACATCAACTTTTAGAAGATGCATACGTTTCTGTCACTGGTGTGTTCAATTAGTTGCTGGGCTACCTCAGTCACTGAGGGTATAGACATGGAATCAGCACACAGACTGTGGGAGCTGGTGAGAGAACTGGCAAGAGACAAACCTCAAGCCATCATCCAGTAGCTCAGTTTATTTTTGGAATGCACACAACTGTTATAGTGTTCAAGTGGGGCATGCTATTCTATCATACATAAGCAAGACAATATCCATAAGCCAATCATCTTCTACCTAATGTAACCGCACTGTGAGGAAACTCTAAATATGGCTGTCATGGTGGAAAGCAATCTGGAAAGGTCTTTGTCCCTAAGGGAGGAGGCTTACTGAGTCAGGGATTTCATGCCCTGAAGCCCCTGACTCTCGGTTTCCTGGCCCAGTAGTTTGGTAATGCAAACCACAGGTGCTGAGTATGTGGTTTCACCCCATCCTGCAGGCCCTCCTGTCAGGCCTGAAGGAACGTGGATATTTCAAGCACTTCTGAGCTGCTTATAGCTGCTAGCTGCGACTGAAAGTTATTACAAGAAGCCTTTTTGGGGTTTGGCCAATTCTTTTTTTCTTTTTTTTTGGGGTTGGCGTTTTGGCTTTTTTTTTTTTTTTTTTTTTTTTTTTTTTTTTTATTAATTTAAAAAAGCAGAGTTTATACAGAAATATATCTAATGATAGATAGAAATCACCAAAGTTCCTTGGGACTAAATTCTTGTATATGTAATGTCATTGAAGGAGACAGATGAAAAGGTTTTTATGCTATTGCAAGAAGATATCTTAGATATGATGAAAGCTGTTTAGCCCTGTATATTTGGACGAGGATTCTAAAAGCTTACAATTACTTATGGAAGTGCATCTTTCAGCCAAATCATAAATATTAACACCAACTAACAAAACAAAACAAACAAACAAACAACAACAAAAAAA